ATACTAAAATATTTTGATTTTTCTATTCAAATATATGTTTTGTTGTGGTTTGCAATTTTCTATTTCTCTTTTAAACAGTGACATTCCTTATGGATTGAATCCCACAATAAGTATATTTATATTTATTGATATTATAGATTAATGTATCAAATATATGAAATAAATATGCTATACGAATGGATGAACCAAAATTATACATCACATTTTTATTGGCTTGTGGTATATGTACACATCATGCTTAATTGTCTAATAAAATTTAGTTATGATATTTGACAAACTCAAACTATATTTACAATCATGTTCAGGCCGGTATGTTTCAAATGGAATTTTGTGTAACTTATTATTTACCAATATTACTGTTGCTTATATTACTTTAAAAAATGTGTATCGATGCATGGGATATACGTGCAGAGCACGTGTTCAGAAACTAGTATAAACATATGCACAAAAATATTAATTAATTTTGAATTTCCTTTTTTTTTGTTCTTGTATACTATTTATTTTTAGTGCATACTCTTAAAAGGCATTAAGCGTATAAATTTATGTAATCATATTATTGTTTATAAGAGTAAGATTAGTTCTATTTAATAAGAGGTTAGACATTTGTTTGTAGTACATCACATTGGATGTTGATGGTAAAATTTTATTTATTAATATGAATATTTGAGTTGTTTGATTAAAAATTCTAAAATATTCTTGAGAAAAAGTATTTAGTTGCATTGTTCTTTCTTTTTTTCGTTTAATTTTTTTTATAATGTTCAACATTGTTTCAAGTGAAACTAAAATCATTATATATATACTTGGTAATCCTCAATATGCTAGTTGTATTCTTGTATCTGATAGCAGAGGTTTCAAGATACAGTGTGAGTGAGTTTGTCAGTTTATGAATCTCTATAGGCATAATACATAAACGTGTCATTTAGCTTGGCCTCAGTTTTGGGTTGCATTGCAGCGACAAAATTCTGCAGTCATATTTCATGCTTAGATGCCTCGCAACATGCTATAAGTGTTTGCTTGTAATGATTTGACATGATAGATTTAGAAAGAAAATGGTCTACTTCTAATTTTGGGAAAAGGTAGAAGTACCTCCCTAGACTATGACTAAAATTCCAGAGACGCACCTTAACTAAACTAAGGTCATATTACCACTAAACTCATTTTTTTTGTAATTTTGTACACCTTTTTGGCTTACATGGCATCCAAATATCTCTCACGCGCCTCAACTGCGTAGAGTCACGGGATGTGCCACATAAGCCAAAAGGTGTACAATATTATATATAAAATGAGTTCAGAGGTAATAACCTTAGTTTAGTTAAGGTGTGTCTCTGAGATTAGGGGTACTTGTGCCTTCTCCCTCTAATTTTTGTTCAAACATAAACTGCATGAATCATTTATAAAAATATATTTTTAGAAAATCTTTTCAATCAACAAACATATATTGGGGGGAAATAAATACAATTGAACAAACATTGTAAATAAGAAAAAAAACAGAAATAATTGGACTATCCTTGCAAATTGAATAGGATGGAGAAGTTGAAAGAATACTGAAAACTTTGTCAAAGGCAAATGATAGAGATGCTAGTTGACGAAATGACAGTCCCTTCTGATCTCTCCATTTCGACCTGTGAGGACATCCAAGGTACCCATATGGATCATTGCTGCTGCAAACTTCCTTGACCAAATTGAACCAAATCTAGCATTGTAGTTCACCAATTTAGCTGTTGTCGGGTTTGCCATCAATGCCTGATCCGAAATCATAAGTCCCTTTTGACTCTTTAAAGCCAAGTAATATCTGTTATCCAACCTGTTTGGTGTCAGGGCATCAAGTTTCGCGGGATTAGCAGCTCCCGTCCCATTTGTAAGTGCTTCTGGTGGACAAATGGACTTCAAGAAGTCCGCGTATTCAGGATCAATTGGAAGATTTTGTTGATTGTTTTGTGGGTACAAACGGCTAGCAAAAACACCGCAATGTGCAATGCCAATGGAATGCGCGCCAGAGAGAGTCACCATTTCATCAACAGACATACCTTTACTTGCAAAATTCTTGATGAGTTCCGAGGCATTGACGAAGAGAAGGAAGATTAGTCAATGTTTCAGAGTCAATAGAAACACGACCATCACGACGTCCTGCTTGGACATCATAGTATATTCTCCCAACTTTGTAGGAACTGTCCCGAGCAGCAAAGGCAACGATGTCTGCACACGAGACAGTTCCAGGGCAAGCAGCCTCAAGTGCAGCTTTTGCAGCATCAATCACCTCAAAACCTCTTAAACTGTTCTTGTTGGGAATACCTTCCTTCTCGGAGTTTGGTCCATCCAATAACACGGATGCATCACACCCCTAATTAAAGAACATGACATGTTAAACCGTTATAAGATAATGTTATCATCAAATTAATAAAAATATAAGCATGAAATTCATACGTACCCTGACAAAGCAATCGTGAAAATGTAACCTAATAAGTCCAGCAGCAATGCCTGGATTACGAGACACGGCTCTGTTTACAACATTTTGAACAATGTGTTCAGCATAGGGACAAGTATATCTATAGTAACCTACTTTAATCGATGGCCAATATGGTGTTCGATAGGCAAGAATGGACGATGAAAATGATAAAATGAGACAGGCAAAAAGTGCAAGAGCTGAAAGATTGATGCCTTTGGAATCCATTCTTAATTTTGAGACTCAAAAGACACTATGGTTTTTTCTTAGTAATTGATGATATAACTTTAGGAACATATTGAAGTATTTATAGTTTGAGAAATTCTTGAAGGAACAAAAACATTTTTAAAAAAAAAACATGATTGTTTGTATAATACCAAGTCTATAGTTGATGTATTCTTGAGCTTGTCTGACCTTTGAAGAACTCAACAACTACTACATTATGGCATCCATGAATAGGTTGACACTCTTTTTCCTTAATTTTTACTATTTTCTCTAGAAATAGAAAAAAAAAAGTAACAAAAATAGTAAAAAAGATTAACAATTTGAGTGGTGTGAAGTGTGAACTATTCTATTTCATTGGGAATCACTTGTGCTATGATTAAACTTATGTGACATAGTTTGAATTAATACAGAGTTACGTTAAAGAAAAGAAATGAATATTTTTTAACCTTGTGATCTTAAATAGGTTATAGTATTTGTGTGCCTATAAAAGTTTTGGAATTTATCGTCTTATACATCCTTTAATATTTCTGCATGAGTTATGAAAGCTTCTCATTAAGACTCCTCTTCCTACTTTGTTAAAAGGTAAAACAAATCCCACTTGGAGATTGAATTAGCTTGTTTATTTCATTAGTTGGTTGCCAATATCTTTGTGCATGGCCCATATGTCATATGTCAACTCATTATGATAGATTTCTTAATTTGCAAATACTTGTTTGACTTTCCTCTTTCATCTTGTTAGTACATACATATTGAAATTTTGTGACTTTGTCTACAATTGAATCCATTCCTACTGTATAACAAGAAGTTGCGAAATCAGAAATTTCGTTAAGGATTCCAAGATTCATTATAAATGTATGAAAAATAATTGTTTACCTATATACTTCATATAATTTTTTATATTCATAGTATAAAAAATGTCTGGCTGGCTACCCTAAGCTATGTGGCTACGCTACTGATAACAAGACAAGTAGTGCGAATTAGTAGAAGTTATCTTTGATTCTTCCCTTTTTTAGTCTACAATCAAGACTTTAGTTCCGGTGGTTTGCTTTGCTAGCTGTCGGGGTGCAACATTTGAAATGTGACAAGTCAATACTCCCAAATAAAAAGGGAATTTAACGCTACACTGCACATGCAATGACATAAGATGTCATTAGGGGTGTCAAAAATGAACCCAAACATAGGTAATCCGCCCATAATTTTAAGGATTGGGCTCAAGATAATTTAAATTGGGTTCAATCTCAACTCATTCAAGCCTAATCCATTTTAAGAAAATCCTCAATTGAGCCCAATTCAATCTTCAATTTCAACCCGTTTTAAAACTCTTTACTAAGATATGATCCTATATTAAAGGTATGAATTATTATTTATTTAACATCTTTTAGGATTTATCTATCCATTTGTTACTTTTTTTAAAAAAATAATCTTGAGCTGAAATTCAAATTGTGATTATAAAAGTTAAATATCACTATGTTAAAATTATTAAGATTACGGGTCAAATTGGACGGGTCAAGACTCAACTCGTTTTTTAGCCCATTTGAACCCAACCCATTTGAGCCCAAAGTAATTAAACTTGAGCGGGTCAAGACCCAACTTGATTTCTATTTCAACCCATTTTAATATCTTCAATTTCACTCCAATCCGCCCATTTGACACCCCCTAGATGCCATATAGGCAAGGCTCATGAGGAACCCCTAGAATTTGTATGCAAAATGAGCTTACGTAAGTATATATCAATCAATCGAGCCATCAAGTTTGAGAATAAAAGTGGTCGATAAATCACTAATCAAAGAAGGAGAGACCATAATATATAATAATATATATTTATATGATATTAAATTATCTCATTAAAAATAAAATAGAACTTTTGAAATTAAATCATTTTTAAATATAAAAAGAAATCATTATTTTGTGATAAAAGTTCCCAAAATGGTGAAAGTGAGAAAATTACTGTCAACAATCATGACAGTCCAAGAATTTCAACCACAAAAGCTAAAAAAAAAAAAAAAACGTTCCGTGCATGTCCTTTGTTTGTTAAAAGGGAAAAGGCCAAGAGAAATAGAATATTTTTGACTCACTAGCTGAAGTAGTCCTAAAAATATCTTTATCCTTAAAATTTGCCTCTTTATTATAGGAAATAGAACAAATATGGCTTTCATTTGGATTTTCTCTCATATATGCCTAATTTTCTCACTTTTAAAAAAAAATGTGCTAAAAGTGTGGATTTGAACCCAAAAAAATTCAAGATCCCAATCCTAAGAGTGAAAATCCTGAATCCGTCACTGTAGGTATATAATTAAATTATAGAAAGTAGAGCATATACAAACTTTATCCGTATTTTCAACTATTTTCAAATGGTAATCTTTTTGATGATCCAAAACATCCACAAATTAAAATACAAGATACATGATTTGATAGCAAAACTTACTATCAACATTACAAGAAAACCAAACAAGACAATTATTTCAACTCTCATTAAGATCACATTCTAGCTTTAGTCATAAAAGAAAAGTTGCATAATAAATCACAATCATATGGTATAAATTTTCAGCCCATTAATTAAGCTATATCATCATCATGCTGGAGCAACAGTTTCTGCGGGCTTTTCTTCTGCGGGCTTTGGTTCGGGCTCAGCTGGTGTTTCTACGGGCTTTTCTTCCACGGACTTTGTTTCGGGTTCTGGTGTTGGTGCTTCCCAAAACGAAGTCTTCTTTCCGGTCTTTGAAACAGTCTGGAAAACAGCTTCTGGTTCCACATTTCCATTTACTGTCACTTTTTGCTCCTTTATATCGATGTCAAATGATTCAACACCTACAATATATTCATACAGAAGCTTCGAGTCAAATTAGTATTCTTTCTGTTTCAATTTATGCAACACTCACAGGCTAATGTATTATTGTATGAATTCAACTGAACTCAATAATAATTTTATCTAAATCTTGTATTTGTATTAAGATAGAAATCCAGGAACTCCAAAGGACTAGAATCTAAAATCGATAAATTAAACCTCTGAATTCAATCTGTTTTAAAAAGAATAATGACGCATCTCAATTTAATTACAATATTCACATTCTACCCTTTATGACATGATTTTATAGACATTAATTAATATATATATCTGACATGTTACAGATGTCAACAAACTTCGTGTCAAGCTAAATAAGTTCACATAAAATGAAACGGATAAAAAAAAAGTGCAATTATATACTAAAATTCACCTTCCATTTTGCCCAAAACTCTGTTGACAGCTCCAACACAGCCTTGGCATGACATACCAACCTTGAGAACAACTGTCTGCTTATATCATTTAGAAGAAAAAAAAGTTGATTAACTAATTCTGAAGTTTAATTTCTATGCACAGATAATGCTATTTCGCGTAAATTTATATATGATACTCTAAATTTCCTTTTTTATGCGAGACAGGAGATGTAACTATCTAAGCTCTTTCAATTTATCCCGTCTTTAGATAAGTGTTTGCGGTTAAGATGACTACTATGTTTTGTATATACTAAGAGGTTGATAAATGGAATCGATAACCTAAAATTCTGATAAATTACATGTTACTATAACATGTTAAAACACATTAAAAGTATAATTAAACAATGGGATAAATAGTAACACTTTTAGTCCCTCAATTGTTAGTAATTTTGATTGTCTTTCTGATATATATTTGTAACACACGCATTTTATCTTTTATTTAATTTAAAATAAGTTGATTTAATCCTTTTATGTGGGAATTAAGTATATAATATTTGTGCTATTTTTGCAGATATAAAGTAACAACACAATCTTATTATTATACATGAGTAATTAAGTAGTGAAATGGTGAAATAATTATGAATATTCACTAGTAAAGGAACTAAAAGTGCACATTTCAGCTAATTAAAGATTAAATATACTTAATAACATATCACAATGATCAAAATTAAAATTTTGTAATAACTAAGGGATCAAAAATACAATTAGCACTTAAACAATGGTTAGTATATACTGAGTTAAAATCATTAATAAAATTAGGTGAATATGACAATGTAAGGTCATGACCTTTCAAAATATTTATCAATCTGCCCCTATTAAATAAATACTAACAATATAAATTGAATTCCCTCACTCAATTAATAGTTATTATCACATAGTCAACGTCATCTTTGTTCTTGATTTCAATCTTCTTTTAAAAAAAAACTAAAATAATAACTATTAAGTGATCATCTGAGTAATCAATTCGAAGTTTAGTGCAGAAAATAAATTCTTTTAACTAATCAAAGATTGTTTTCATACAATCCAATAGATCAACAAGAAAAACATTCACCAAGAACCTAGAATTGATCAATTTTGTGCTCCAAAGAGAGAAGATTAATTTTCTTTGTATTAATTCACATCATCTTAATTAATTAATTATTTGAAATCAAGAACCAAAATTTCCACTTAAAGTGGGGGGGAAACCTAATTCTGATTTGGATTATTTAGCCAAAATTCATCAACCCCTTTAGAAAATCCAAAGACTATTATATGACTTATAAATAATTTATATTAGAAAAAAAATATTGAAGGGTTAAAGAAAGAGGTACCTGAGACATGATGAAATGTAGAGAGGAAAATGTGAAAGCTTTTGCTTTGGTGAGAAGAAATTATGTAAATGTGGACTTTTGAGATGATGGGAGAATTAGCTGTATGTGACTCTCTATTTATAGAACAAGAATAAAAGAAAAAGGACAAAAGAATACTATTCTTTCTGTTTCAATTTATTTGATCGTGTTTGACTAGACACAAAAAAAATATATGGTCCAAAACAATTTTTAGGTATTTATGTATCCGTAAATTATTTCATTAATAATAAAAGAAATTAAAGTTAAACTATTATAGATCGAGTATTTGTTGTTGATGAAAGTGTCAAATATATTGTGGAACTAATCCAAATGTCCGTAAGCTGATTCGGACACCACGATTAACAAAAATTCTTTTATCCTTGATAATTCTTAGTGTGTTTATTTCATTTTATCCTTGATAATTCTTTCTTATAATATGACATGACTTGTGTTTAAAATCTAAGACTTAAAAGTGTTATGCACATCTTATCATAGTATACAAAATAAAAAATTACACCATTCAGTTTCGTGTTTAATTAAATTAGGACATATAAAATAAAATGAAATTTAAAATATATTTTTCAAAATATATCTTCAAAATAAAGTAAAACAAAATGATTGAAGTATATCTTCAAAATCTATTTTTCACGTTGGGCTAGTCATAAACCTGTGAACCAATCACGATCGAACTTTTAATATATTAGGGTTAGTATATAGTTTAGTGAAAATTTTATAATTGATATATATATGATATAAGTAATAATATTTTAAAAGTAGATTTAAAATTTGTAATATTGTCCCTTAAATATATATGTGGGGTGATTTTTCCTATAGTTTAGGGGGTCGGATTTAGGGGGATTTTAGGAGGGATTGGACCGGCTCACTATCATTCCTAGTGGGCCGGTTCTTAGGGCGACGGGTTAGGTAATTCGAGGGCTTTTAAATTTATATTAAAATATTTAACGGTAAAATAATAGTAGATGAAAAAGCTTAAACAATTTCTCTTATCAGAGACGGAGTTAAGTGGGGGTTTGTGGATTCGGACGAACCCAATAGCTTTTCCTTAGACCCTATATTTGTATTAGAAAATCAAATCAATATACATGTATATTAACTTGTAAAATCGCTAACAAAATTGATTGATGACTCAATGGTAAGGAAGGGGTCGTGAAAATGCTTTCCACACTAGTGTTATGGGTTTGAACCCCACTATATCAACAAAAGTTCTCTTTTCTTAAAAAAGAAATCATGTTTTATAATATTTTTTTCTTCTATCCTAAAATTTAGAACTCCCAAATTTGTAATCCTGGTTCGCCAATTACCTTATAACTTTTCTTAATTAAATAAGAATCTTCCTACCTTGTTTGTGTAAAACTATTGAGTATTATTTTATACAAGAAACGGATAATATAAATAAGAGAATATATTGTTTCAAGAATCTATGGAGTAATAATGTTGAAAATGTTCTAAAAAAAATGAAAATTTGTAGATGTGATTGGCACTAAATGAGTAGTAGCTATTGGTTAGCTTGTTGGGTTGAACAAACTTTTATTTGAGTACCAAAAATATTATTATGTTCTTACGTAACGTAAAAGCATGCCTAGCTTCTTTTTTTTCTTTTTTTTTTCAACTGTCTTTTTAAAACATAAATCTATGAGTGAACGTTTAATATTTGGTTCAATATTTTTTGGTAATCAATGTTTAAAAGTAGTTATTGAATGTTTTTTTTTTTTTGGTAAATCAAACTTTGGTATGATAATTCAACTATTACGTATTAAAGGAAAAGATAATTTGACAAAATATGTTCATAATTTTTCTAATATTTGACTTAGATTTTTGAAAAATCATGCAAAGAGGTCAATTGTCCACTCCAAATACTAATATGATGAATATATCATCATAGGTCAATAAAAATATTCAAATCACTCGTTAATGTTACGCATATATATGTATAACCTAGCACACGCATTACGATTTGTGTGCTGGAGAAATTTATATATGGTTAATGTTGTTGACTGCAATGGACTTGATAAAATTTAAAAAAATTATATCGACTCACAATTATTTGATGCAAGACTCATATTTAATTATTTATACCGTTGAAGTAAGTCTTGGTGGTTGGTGCAATTGGTTGTAAGACCAATTTTCCGTTAAACCATCGAACATAAAAAAATTAATTACTCGATTAATTTAAATTTATATTATATGAGGCTCATAGGAGAAAAATTATTTTAACAATTCTCTTTATTTTCATGGCTTAAATTCAAAATTTCTGATTAAAAGTGAGATCTCATTCAGGAGCAGGAGCAGATCTATATGATTATATGAGGCTCGTTGTAGGAGGAAAAATTATCTAGGAGATTATTTTTTTTTCATTTTCATGACTCGAATTTAAGATATCTAGAGTGGAGCTCTCATTTAGGGGGAGAATCTATAGGATAAAGTATTAATTCACATGAACTCAATAACTTTTCTCCAAAATTTTATATTTATATTTAAAAAATAACTAATATATACTAATATTTAGCTCAAAACCACTGCATTAGTCAAGTTATAAATAGGTGTATACTCCCCCATCTTAAATAGTTTAGTTTCTAGTTCTCATTTAATTTTACCCTTATTTAGAATGTTTATGAGAGTTTTTAAAGTACGATTCAAAAATCTTACATTATTTTCTTAAATTTTGTATTTGATTAAACACCACATGTAATTAAAATGAATAAAGTATTAATTAACTTAAAATAATTATAAAAATACATAAATTTTAAATTTCAAATTCATATCATCTCGATTAATTACGTACATCCCACCATACCTCTTGATGATATTATAAGGTCATATATTCATCCAAAAGTATTTGCTTTTCATTTGTTGGAAGTCACCAACTGTTAAAAGATTCGATTGGGCGGTGTATTTGGTATATTATTGGTTGGACCAAACTTTTATTATTATTATCACTCCAAAAAAGAGTACAATTTTCATCCACTTTTTGTTCATTTTGTAGTACACACTTTGTGTTGTAGTACCATATCTATTTAGCATGCAGTACAAAGTTACAGCCACGTCCAAACACACAAAAAAGACGTACTTAATACGTAAACGTGTTATTCAATTTTGAATACGCACAAATAAATATATGTGTTATACATGATATAATATCTATCATATATAGTAGAGCAATTTTCACATATAGCAAACACAAAATTCATATTTGTATGTTATAGCAAAGTTTGCATAATTGTTCTCCATAGCAAACATATATAGGTATAATTCGTTATACATATACAAAAAAAACAGTTGTATAATCTGCTTTGGTATACATATACAAAAAGATCAATTGTATAAAGTGAGAGAGGCGAGTGAGCGAGCGAGATCTGGGAGAGTGGCGAGCGAGATCTGGGAGAGGGGAGAGAGGGGAACGAAAATATATGTATATATACAATTTTCTCTCGTTTTATACAAACACAAACGCATTTTATACAATTTGCGTTTTTTGTATAAAGTGGGAGAGGCGAGTGAGAGAGCGAAATCTAGGAGAGTGGCGAGCGAGATCTGAGAGAGGGGAGCGAAAATATATGTATATATACAATTTTCTCTCGCTTTATACAAACACAAACACACTTTATACACTTGCGTTTGTATAAAAAACAAGAGAGGCGAGGGAGAGAACGAGAGTGGCGAGCAAGATTCACCAGGAGAGAGGTGAAATAGCAACAGTTTGCTATGAGGTACAATTAAATCAAACTATATATATTTATAGCAATTAATTTGAATTAATAGTTTGCTATTATATACAATTTTCCCTATATAGTATAATGTAATTCAATTTGAGTGTATCTTATATATACAATGGCGTAGCGTAATGGATGATCAGTCGAACACCCTTTATTGAAAAAGTATAGTTTGTATATAGAAAATTATATAAAGTAGGGGTGTACATGGATCAGGTTGGTTAGGAATTTTCAAACACCAAACCAAACCATTTGTGTCGGATTTTTAAATCTATAAACCAAATTAATTAAACTCAAATTTTTCAACTTTTGGGTTTTCGGGCTTTTTCGATGAAGTATTCATACAACATATAATTAATTTGTGCTTCAAATAATTCTTTGGTCCTATTGAAATACAACTATCTAAAGATGTTTCTTAAGAAAATAACACAAAATATTATATGGGTGATGACACTAAAATATTCAACAAAAAAATAATCGCATAAAACAAATATTGCAAATAAATAAGTCATAATGATGATGATCATAATTTTAATCAAGAAGGGTCTAAAATATCCTTAAACTATTGGAATTGGTACAAAAATACTCGTCGTTAGCCTATTGGCCACAAAATTCCCTTGAAGGTTAACCTTTGTGGCCCTTTTATGCCTTTATCACAAACGACACTACTAATTAATTAATTAGCCTTCTCATTTAATACATGACACGATCTGATTCTTTAGAAAAATTAATCAATTAAAATTAATTTAACCCAATCTAAACTCGGATCCACCCAAAAAAAAATCCGACCCTACTAAAAATCCAATTATTCTAAAAGAGGGAAAACCCATTAACCTAAAACATTTCCCCGGATATGTAAATCCTGAGCTAGATTGTAAACTCAAAGCCCAAAAGTTTCACAGGCCCAAATGGGCAATTTCATCCAGGCCCATTTACATAAAAACGGATAGTTGTCCTATTGGATTACCTACAAATCATGTTGGATCTTCATATTTAAAAAAATAAAATCATTACTTACAAATCATATCGGATTGTCATGATTTTAGAGCTACAAATTTAAAAAAAATAAAGGGGAATAATACACTTCAAAAGTTTGACATATATAAGTTATTAACTATAGTCATACTATTTTAACCTACTTATCATGTTGGATTAATCACAAATCAAGTCAGTTCATCATGATTCCATAGATACAAGTAACAAAAAGGAAGAGAGAGAAAAAAATACATTTTAAAAATTATGAAATATAAATCATGACAAATTGATATGACTTTATACTAAAATTTACCCAATTTCGTTGAATTACTCACAAATTATGTCAGATAATCAGGATT